TTTAGGCTATTTGCACAGTCTGACGTTGTGCAAACATAAGTCCTAAGTCTTAAATAATTTGCAGGATTGAAACATCAAATAATTATCTCTTCAAAGACATAAAGCCAAACAATAGGATAGTTGGGACATCTTCGGGTTTCTCCTGGATTTGTGATGTCCCCCTACTTTTCTTCCCTTTGGATTCCTTAAATAATTGTTCCTATTTTGAGTCATTTCCATTTGATTTTCCCATGTCCAATCGTGAAAACCTAAACTTTGAAATCTTGAAAGCAAAACCACCTGATCTTAATCGAGAGTTTTCTTAAGTGATTTCGATCATTTAAGATGTGATTAACTATAAGGGCTTGCCTCTATAGGGAACCAGAAACCCAGATAAAATAAACCCTATCTAATTTTTTATATTAAATAGGAGAACTTGTTGGCCTTTTTATAAAATATTTCGCAGATCAAAACGGATGTCACAAATTGTTTAGTCTAGATGATTAAATCCTTATTACAAGTAATATATTTATTCTTCGGGATAAGTGTATTGCTTGTAGTATTGTGTTAAATCTTCTAAACTATCTGAAATTGTGAGACTCGTTTGGTCTCACTTATTTTAAAAATTAAAAACGTTACTTCTTTAAAAAAGTTATATTTATATTTAAATTATTTTCAAAATCACAAAATCATCACCTTTTCAAACTACGAAAGTGAAGTTGAACAATAAAACGGCCGACACAACCTTCCTTCCTCATCCAATTCAAACCCCTCCAACTACAACACCAACACCCCAATGTGCGCCCTAGTTGTGTGTCGTGTCGTTGTTTTCAATTTTCAAGTGTCGTGTTTGTAACCCCCTTTTAATTTCAGCAGTAATGTGTTTTTCCGTTGTGATTTTTGGGTTAGTTCGGTATCACTTCTGTTCACGTATTTCTAAATGAATGCATAGAATGATATATACTCGCAAACAACACGCATGTATTAAGGTAGGTTCCTTTTATGAAAATAACGTACCAAAGTGATCGAAATGTAAGGTTGCATTAGGGCTTCCACCGCCGGTTAGGATTGATTTCGAATAGCTAAGAATTCAGCCTTATGGAAACTTTGAGTGGATTTGGTGTTTTGACCTTAGGCTCATTAGAGGTTGGTTTAATTCCTAAGGTTGAATTTATTTCCAAGCTTAGAGTAATGATTCCAGATTTTGTCTAGTGATATTGGAATCCTACCTTTAAGACTTGCAAAGTAATACCTTAAAAGTTCAGTTCCTGAAATGACCCTTGGACCTTTCATTTATAGATTTTTTAACATTACAAGAAATTTATACCTTTATCTTGCAAAGAATGAATAAAACGGAATACATGATTGGCTAATTATAGATATGTTGATGTTATAGTCAAAACATTAATGAATACACAGATAATCCTTAAGCCAAATGATTGGTAGTCGTCACTAAATTGGAAGATGACACAAGCATGAGAAATACTTCATTCACTTGGGCAAGTAGCCTCTCAATCTGAGAGGTGTGTCCTTCTTGATAAGACTTTAATTCTTGAGAGGATGATACTTTTCCTTGCGGAGACATGCATACTTGTTCCAAATATTTAGCTTGTCCCTCTGATACATTCCGGTGTGAGTTAGTTAATGAGCCGTTTTGAGGGACGTACAACCTTCATTAAATTTAACTGTTGCGTATCCTGAGTTTAATTCTAGTTGTCATCTTCATTGGTTTGCTTTAAATAAGGGGTCGGTTTTAGGATTTCTCAGCCTCAATTTATTTCTAAAGAGACATGCTTGGGATGTTCAAATCATTTTGCATAATTTTTGTTTATGATACCTTTATCACAAGTAATAGAAAACAACCTTTTAAAATGGCCTGTACTTGTTCATAAATGTGAATAATCCTTGCTATAAAATATTCTTGCATGCGTTTTTCGTGGGTTCTCCTTCCATAGATTTCTTTGGTTGAATTATCACTAAGGGTGAGCTTTCAGTTGTTTTGGATGGATTGATTTGCAAATTGGTCAAATCAATTACAAGCAAAATTTATACTATGAAGAGCTGAACCAACCAAAATTTTGATAAAACCAAACCGACCAAATCAAAATTTAATTGTCTAAATGGTACGGTATGAATTAACTAAAATTTAATTATTTGCTAGTTTGATTATAGACTAACATTATAAATTACATGTCTTACATATATAGTGTATTTAATGTCATGAATCATCTATTTATTTTATTCAATTGCTACATATATGACAAACTTTATTTTTTATAACTTGTTTGACATGAAATTAAAATATAGGAATTTTTTACATATGCATCACTTATTGTTCCGTATTTACATGCCTAACAACTACAATTTTTTACATTAATGAAAAGGTTTATTTCACCTTTTAAAAGTTAATATGGTGGCATTTTTTATATGAAAGATTTAGGTGGTGTAAATGTAAAAAGTTGAGGTTGTTTTATATTTATAAATTCATAGGAATTGGGTGGTTATGTAATTAAATGCCCCTAAAATATAATATGACGACGACGACGACAACAACAACAACAAAGCCTTAATCCTATTGCGTGGGGTCGGCTACATGAATCCTTTTTCTTCGTTGTCCTATTTAGTGTCATATTTTCATTTAGTTCTAGTAAATTAAGATCATTTTTTATACAATAAGCCCAAGTCTTCCTAGGTCTACTATAAAAATATAATAAGACATTTAAATTAAATTTTTCAGTTTGTTATGTTAAATAAAATTGAAAACCAAATCAATAACCAAACTAGATATTAAGATTTTAAAGATAAGAAATCGGGCCGAATCAATCAATTTAGTTCAGTTCGGTTATTTGGTTTTGACCAAATAATGCATGCCCCTAATTATCACATGTAGCCTTGCATTAGATGTCTTTAGATATGGGCATTATGATCATGTAGGCTTTGGCTTCCATGAATTAGTTATGTGCTTTCGCAATTTCTCCTAATTCTACCTATATTTAGTTTTGTTGTAACTATGTATATATATATAT